TGAAAAACAAGGGAAAAAAAAAAAAAAAAAAAAAAAAAAAGTAAAAGCATGGGCTGTTCCGCTGTTTTTTTTTGTTTGTTTTTTTTAAAGGTTGAATGAGGCCATGATCAGACCCTTTTTATTCCATGACATGTGATTAATGTTTAAACATAGATGAAACATGGTTTTGAGAATTTCTTTCTTCAAGTTGTTAGAAGGGCCCAAACTGAAGAATCACCCAAATACATTAGAATAATAACAGTATTAGACACACTGGAAAGTAGGTTAAAATCTGCAAGTCATGAAATTTGAAACAAAAAAGTTCTTAGTTGTCATGGTAACTTACTTTGTGCCAGGAAATGCAAAGAGTCAAGAAAGCGTTTTGTGCATGCTAATCAGTTGCATTAGAATTACAAAGAGGCCAAATATATCTACTCTGGGCTTGACTGGAACGGGACATTTGAGGTGCATGTCAGCAAGGATTGAGTCAAAGACGGTGTTGACTGGAAATTGCACATCACAGGCACAGTGGTGTAATTGGTGCTCAAAGGGCCAAGCCTTGCAATCACATGAGAGTCATGATGCATGACACTGGACAAACATCAAAACAAATAGAGCTCAAGAGTACAGCAGCAGACTGCAGTCTAGAGTAAGGCTGGGGTCGGGTAGGACAGCAATTCTCCCATTTTCAACCCTGGTTGTTTTCTGTTCTGACGTCCTGAATATGTCGCTCCTTTCACCTTGCATGATGTTGCGTATTGTCCAGTGTACTTTTGTGTCAGTTAAAATATTTTAACATGAATGAAAACCATCTTTTTGTTGCATTTATGATTTTATAATGCATACATTTTTTTCTTCTGAAATGTGCTGTAAACCTTGTAAATTGATGCATAACATGTAGAAAGTCAAACTTTTTTTATATATGTGACGTGAAAGCAGTTATATACTGTAAAACGTAAAATATATACTCTGTATAAAAATGTATATATATATATATATATATATATATATATATATATATATTAGTTAAGATACTAGTTATATTAAAGATACATTATTTTTATCTTGACTAAAATATTGTATTTAGCATCAAAAATCTCAGTGGTTTATGAGTGTGAGAAACATGGGAGGGAGAAGTAGAAAAAAAAAAGAACATACAATTATCATGACTAAAATATATTTAGCATGACAATCTCAGTGGTTTATGAGTGTGAGAAACATGGGAGGGATAAGTAGAAAAAAGTGTCTTGCACCCAACAGCCTCTCACATGTCTGGTGCTCTTTGCAGGGGTTGGGTTCGACAGAGAGGCCAGTGTGCGCTGCTCACTAGTCCATTCGCAATCAGTGCTTCAACGGCGAAGGAAGCTAAGGAGACGGAAAACGATCACTGGCATTCCCAGACGCGTGCAGCAAGATTTTGGTGTGTGAACCTGTAACATTCTTTTATTACTCTGTTTTCATTATTTGTTTATTTACAGTAAAGAATAAGGCATATAATAAGAGTAAATGGCATGTATAAAACATTATTTATTACTGAAAAATCGTTTATTGTTTTTTAGATTCTGACGAGTCTCCAGTGGCCAGAGAACGTACAGTGATGGTCCATAACAACCCTGAAATTTGCCAAGAGGATCTCACACTCTCTCGTCTCAACACCAAGGACTCTGGTTGCCAGACAGAAGAATCCCTGATTGTTGGGGCTGCACCCTCACGTAGACGGATCAGAGCACAAAGGGGGCAGGGCGTGACTGTGTCACTGTCCCATTCCACAGGCAACATATCTTCTCTGCCTGACAACTCTGACACAATGTTCACTGCCTCAGTAGGCTCCCGTCTGCGTTCTCGAAGCCTCCCGCGTGAGGGAGGGCGATTGGTGGACGAAGGCCATGATAACAGTGATGAGGATGACGAGGAGGAGGATGAGGAAGAGCTGTCCGCGTTTGAGGCAGAGGACTTCCTACCAGTCCCAGGGGAACATATTCTAAAAGATGATGAAGAAAGCACTGATGACCAGGCAATTCCAGAGGGCCAGCATAACAGTTTGAAATTCAAGCAGCATGCTGGAAGTACAGAGCATGACTGGATAGAGAGGGGTCGATCCCATCTGCCTCGGAAAGCTGACATGGGTAGCTGTGAGATTTCCTCCAGTTCTGATACATTCAGTAGCCCCATTCACTCTGTTTCCAATGCTGGTGTGCTGACTAGCCAAATGGACCACAAGGAGGATCACCAGTCCTCGAGCGGCAATTGGAGTGGTAGCAGTTCTACCTGTCCCTCCCAGACATCAGAGACCATTCCACCTGCAGCCTCACCCCCACTCACCGGATCATCCCATTGTGATTCAGAACTATCGTTGAATGCAGCTACCAATACTAATGATGACTCCACCGGCTTCATTGTTGATCCATATCCTGGAGACCGATCACAAGGCCTCCATAGCCATAGGACAGGTTCATTAACTTCCACTGCGACTGACATGCTTGATGATGCTGGAGTCAGCACTGCCAGTGAGGGTGAGTGGAGCTATCCACACTACAGGCACAACATGCCTTGCCATCCCGACTTCAGTCCTGAGCACTCTAGGGCAGAGAATATCCTAGAAAGTCCCAGTTTTGCTAGCATAGCCACTTTTGAAAGTTTAACAGATAGGCCACCATCTGAAAAGGCTGACACCACCTCACACTTTTCTGTAGATGCCGAGGGCTACTATACCTCCATGCACTTTGACTGTGGTCTTAAAGGTAGCAAAAGCTTCACGTATAACTATACATGCATAGATAAGCAGCAGGCAGAATATGGACATCAAACAAGCACACTTGGGAGATGTAGTCTCTCTCTAAGGAAACCAAAGGTGAAGCCATCCCCACCAAAACGCAGCTCATCCTTGAAGAAAATAAGCAGCCATGTTGGACCCCCCACTGACAAGAATGAACCAAAGAATGCTGTCGGTCAGAACAAATCTATGTCTTCCGGTGAGAGAACACAGCATGTGGGGTTGAACAGAGGCTCCTCAAGTCAGCTGGAGAGTGAGGAGCCACTGGGGGCTTGGGGTGTTGAGAGTTCTACAGAGATTCCAGAAGTTGCTTTGTCTGGCTCCACAGAAACGCATTCCTTCAAGGACGAGGGAGCTGTCCAGTCAGACTATGCAGATCTCTGGCTTCTTAATGACTTGAAATCCAATGATCCTTACAGATCGTTGTCAAATTCCAGCACAGCTACGGGTACCACTGTCATCGAATGCATTAAGTCACAGGAGAGCTCTGAATCCCAGACTTCCCAGTCAGAATCTAGGGCCACTACTCCTTCATTACCATCGGTGGAAAGTGAGTATAGATTGCCTTCACCAGAAAAGCTGGTAGGTCTAGCGTCACCTTCCAGTGGCTACTCAAGCCAGTCAGAGACACCAACATCATCTCTTCCATCGGCTTTCTTCCCAAACGCTCACCCAATGTCCCCTACTGGTGGCAAAAGGAAACCCAAAGTCCCAGAGAGGAAGTCCTCACTTGCTTCTTTTCAGAAGTACTCATCCAAAAGGGACCTGGAATTGCCTATCATACCTCCCTCCCATCTTGACCTAAGTGCCCTTCCCAATGTCAGCAAGCCTTCAATTCACACAAACCAGATGCACATCCTCGACCAGAGCAAACAAAAAGCAGCAGCTATAGCAGAAACCAAGCGTGAGAGTCTGGCAACTTCGGTTTCAAGTGATGAGCTGGCAGTCACTAGTTCTTTGGCCATCACTCCTACGGTACTTCGTTCAGTTCAACTACGTTCAGTTGGCAAATCTGGAGAAGGGAGCCACGATCGACCTATAACTGATACCGCCACTAGGCCTAAGTGTCCCACTGTGACTATCATTACCCCACCTACTCACGATAAACCCCATGAAACTAGGAAGCCTCCACCCTATAGACCCCTTTTCATAGAAACCACCTCTCAGGACAATTGTAAATCACTGTTTACCCCAGTAGATGGACTAGCTGCTAAGAATATAGCAAGCCATTTTGGTGCAAGAAATAGATATGACCGATTAGCCCCATCACCTCTTTGGAGCATGACTGCTTTTAAGGCCCCGTCTGAGCAGGTGAACATGGATGAAGTGATGTCTGAAAATTCTCGAGAAGTTGCAGAAGATGTGAGCACCTCAAATAATTTATTTCCCCAGAGTAGTCTGGAATTGGAGCAAATCCAACCATGGAAATCTGAGCCAAATGAGGGAAGTCCTTGTCAGAATGGTCTTGGAAAGAGGTCAGATGGTCTTGACCAAGTGCCTGATATTGTCAATCAAAGATCAGAGACATTGCAAGCTTATCTAATCAGCAGTGCTGAAGAAGAATCTATAACATCAGGTGTTCCAACCAGAAGTGCCTCACAGGAACTTGTAGAGGAAGGGTCTACACCAGACACAGAGGATTATTTCAGCAAAGGTTTGTTTGTGTAATATTTATATTACTAAGTAAACTAGCTTCCATTTTGTGTAAAGTTTAAACATTTTGAATTGGAATGAGTTTTAGAGTTTCTATTTCAGAGTCCACACCAAGCGATCCAACTGAGTCCCCTCTGACAGACAAATCCAAAACCGAGGATGATAGTGTTTTTCTTTCACCAAGTAAAAGTCGCACAACAGAGGATCTCTTTGCCATGATTCACAGGTGTGTTTATCTAGTAGATTTTTGATGATCTTAGAAATTACTGAAAATTGCTAAATGTTTATTGTCTCTTGTTTTGTTTTTGCCATCTCAGGTCAAAACGAAAAATGCTGGGCAGGAAAGATTCTGAAGAAATGTCAGTGCGGAGCCGTTTAGCGGTTGTTTCTGGGAATGGCTCTGCTACTAATCCTGCAACCTCGCCCAGCACCCCAAACATGCCTGCAAGTCCATCTACTCAAACTGGGGCTCAGAGAACCCCGGGCTCAATTTACAGGAGTGCCAAAAAGTCCAGTACCTCAAATGAAGAGTTCAAATTGCTGCTGTTGAAAAAGGGAAGTCGGTCCGACTCCAGTTATCGCATGTCAGCTACAGAGATCCTTAAGAGCCCCGTTGCACCCAAAAGCCCCGGTGAGCTCCTGAAGGAGGGTTCTAGACCATTTGAGGAGCCTCTCTCTCCTTTCCAACAACAACTTCCAGAGGGAACTCCCGAGCAAATGCCCAGCCCCTTTCCCAAATCGTATGCTGAGGGCTTTTCTCCAAAAGCTTTTCCCACATCTGCCTCAACTAGACAAGGCCGGTCAAGGATGCCGCCAGCTGCAAATAGCAGCCGCTACAGTACACGCAGTCGGCTGTACATTGCTCCCATGCAGGCCATATCAGAAGGGGAAACAGAAAACTCAGATGGAAGCCCACACGATGACCGTTCCTCCTGAAAAATGCATCTTGACTTTTAGAATCAGTTTAGACACAATCTTTGACATCAGGTCCATAATGCTAGGCACTTGGCATACTCAATTCTGTTCTTAAGAACTAAGAAGACCGTAAACAAAATACGTAGCGTCTGTACCATTTTGTATCAAGAAGAACAAAACATTCTAATAATGATTTTCAGTAGTGGTGTTCTAATAACTTCCATAAACATATTTATTTTATGTGAATACTTTGTTTGCATACCTTTCATTTTAGAATGAGAGTGGAGAAAACTACATGATAAAAATCCATCACTTTGTAATTACTCACAGTGAATCAATTGTGGATGCTTTTTGTCACACACATTTAACATTGTCTAGAAAGATAAAAACAGTACTGTACTGGGGTAACTGTGAAAATGGGTCCAGATGGTATTAAAAGAAGGGAAAATCTTTCTTGTACCTTACATACAAACTGTTTATGGCAGACAGCTTGGGACAATCAAAGAGTGGCCTTTTGTATAGTTAGCTGTAGCATAAATGGGCTAAGTGCTTTCGAGGTAGCCCGCAACTGGATCTTATTGGGCAAGAAATGTAGCTGTGTTGGAATATCCTGATGGCCAACCACTATTTTGCACTTCTTTTGGTACTGAAACATTGGTACTGGACATTTTAAAGAAATCTTACAAAAATGCCACAAAAGAAAAAGTGACATGAAAATAAATATCTATATAAAGAATATAAATTTAAAAAAATATGTATTTTTAATGAGATTAGCTTAAGAAGGTAATAGGCAAATTGTGTCCATATTTGGCATTTTTAAGATATTGAGCTTTTTAATGCACCATCTAATAATTTTAAAGCAATGCTGTAATTAATGACCACATGATTCTTCCCTTTCATTCAGTATTTATCTTTTTTAAGCAAATTTCTTTTAAAAAAAATCAACCCATTGTTTCTATATCAATAAATTGATCTAAGAAAAATGACAACAGCTACAACACAGGCACTAAACGTATTCTGTGAATACTGTACCAATTGTTTCTAAAGTATATATATAATTCTGCTCTTTGTGAAGTGATTTTTTTGTTATTGATCACTGACCCACACAGCAGGACTAATACTGTGCAAGCGTTTTACAGCCAACTTGAAATTATGCCTCTACCGCAGTAGTTGTAGCTTTTCTATATTTCACTTTAATAGATCAAATTAACTGCATGCAATAAAACTTAAGAGAGGAGCTGATATTGCTACATCATTTTTTAAACGTATCAAGGAATTTGCCTCATCAGATTTGTAAGGCCATGAGCTTTTTTGTCAAAAATCTGATTGAAACACTCTTGACAATCTTTTTCAAAGACATTTATATGTAGTAAACGGACTCTGGCAGAATAATATTGTAGAAGGATAAGTAGAAGTTTTTAGAAGTGTGTAGTGGAAGTTTTGGTCAGGAGGCTTTTGCAGTTTGTGTTGCTTTGGGTTTGAATTTGCAATGTTGAGAGGGCAATGAGGAAAGTTACAAGAAGGACTTAAGTTTGGTATCGTCCTTGAAACTGATGGAAAACATATTCCTTTCTCAATGCTGTTGCTGTTTGTAGCACGGACAGTAAAATATCCAAAGAAAGACTACAGAGGTGTAGAGTCACGTCAGACTGAGAGACAGAGCAAGTCTGCAGTAAGAGGGTTTGCGTCTTGATAAAGACTTTCTTTTGCTGGAGCAACAAATAAATCTGTGCGTATGAGGATGTGCTGAAAAGGATGCAAATCAAAGGAAAGAGGTTGTAAAAAAGGTTGCAAAGGACAGATGAAAAAACATGGACTTGCACTACTGTTTGGTTATCGTTCAGCTTTTTTTAAATCAGCTTCCAAGAGCCACCTCATGTTTTTCATTTTGGTACTAAAGCGAAAGGATTATTAGTATCTTGCTGGCTTTTATGAAATATTGGGCTTTGATAAATTTATGACTGCAGATTTATTTATGGATTTATGGACTTATGTTTTTCTTTTCAGAGGTTAAGCTTTAGTGGGTAAACACTGGTTTCAAAAGACAAATGAATTTAATGCAGACAATAAAACCACTTATAAATAATATAAAAAAATATGAATGGCATAAGCTACTCTGTTAATGATCCTTTGAAACCTAATGGTGTCCAGTGGTGTATTTGGCATTTCTCTCCTTTGTACCATTGACCTTCTGGTGTGTTTGCAATTTACCTTGCTTGGTGAGATTTAGTCTTTGGATCAAGTATTTAAGCTGTCCTCAACTATTCGATCACTGACAACTAACTAGCTTTAGGTAAAGATGTTATACAAAGGGAAAAACACACATTTACAAATCTAAGCAATCTAAAAGTTGGTAAAGACTTTCACTATCCATCTCCAAGACAGAAGTAAACGATTTTGTAAGCTACCATTCCAACATTGTAAAGTCTAACCTTAAAATTTGCACTGATGTTTAGTATGTTTGTGAAGGTTTTCACATTGTCTATTGCTGTACCTAAGGCTATTTAAACAGGAATAGTTAACACATAGCAAAAGCAATTATGAATTGAAATCTCATATTGTTAAAGTTATAAAGCATGCTTGGTGAATGGTAACATGAAAGATTTGTGTACCAAAAGATTTCAGAGTTAGACAAACACTTGCTGTACTGAACACACACACACACAGTTACGTGATGTCTCTTCTGGTACTAGACTGAAGTCTTCAAGCAACTAAAATGAATTTTTGTTGTTGGTTTTTTTGTAAAAACTTGTAAATAGAATACCTTTTAAAATCGTTTCCAGGGTGTTTCTTATGTAAAATGTTTTCAAAGTTTACATTAATTATAAGCCTTTGTATATTTTTGATCTGTGCAACACTTTTGAGTCTTGTATTTATTTTTTAGTAGTCTTTGTGGAAAGTCCCATTGTAAAATGTCTCTAAAACCATTTGCCAGCTTGTCTGGCTGTTTAGTAAATGTGCATAGAAGAGGCCAATAAATGTGACTGCTTTAAACACGTAAACACCTGTGTGTGTGTAAATGTTCGTTTATAAAGATAGGTGATAACGCTGAACTGGGTTGAAGTACGGTAAATTGTACCACATTTTAAGTCATATCATTATATAAAGCTCAAGGATGCAATGGTTTTAATAGAGTTTGAGATGCTGTAGTCGAATAAAATGAATGGCTTTTTGTTAGTGAAGTGTTAATGTGTAAACTAAGATATGAACTCAGCAAGTACCTGCTCTACTTTGACAGGTGTTTTCATCGTTTTTAGTTTTGAAACACTTTTATTCCACCCTGTTTCAGTGCTGTTTGAGTCTTATAACCAGCTAGATGCTGTGGTTTTGGTTAATTAGTGAACTGAGAGCCACCAATGATGACATTTAACAAAATGTATTGATTGGCATAGATCTACAAGCAGAGGCTTACTAGGATAAGTACCTTGAAAAGCATCACGCTTGTATTGCATAGATTAGGTCAAACACATTTTGCCCTCATACTAAAATACTGAAGCCACAGTGCAGTTGTCAGTGTTTTAAAGGGGTCCTATTATGGTCTTTTACAATGTCTTGAATTTGTTTTGGGGGTGTACTAGAACATGCTCTCATGCTTGGTGGTTCGAAAAACACATTATTTTTTTACATAATTTACATTATTACAATACCTTTCTCCACATCCTGGCACAAACGGCTCGATTAGTTCCGGGTTTGAAGAAGGCCCGCCTTCCGAAAAACGAAATGTGATGTGATTGGTTAGCTATCCCAGTGCGTTGTGATTGGCGAACAGCTTAGACGGCGTTTCAGTACTGCCCCGCCCCTTGCCAAAGCAGCAAGTTCCGTCTGCTCCGGTTTAGTTAAGGATGGCGTCAATATTGCCATATCAGTTTGAGCCGGATTCAGACCCCGAGAATATTGAACAAGAGGATCGCGCAGAACCTTTGCACGCACGTATATTGCAAGACATATTAGAGTGGTAACGTTATTGTTGTTGTTTTTGCTAAATCACATTTTAGATAGGATGTCAACAACCGCTTAAAAATAACTGCATTTACTATGTACAGATAAGTGCATATGTATTATTTTTATTGTTATTTAATTCTAACATTATAACATGAATTGCAGTGAAACTGTTATACAGTTGAATTTATTTATACCATAGTCCAGTGTTTTCCAGGTGGCATATATATGCAAACTCATTCTCTGCCAGCAGGAGGCGCTGTTGAAGCGGTAGAGATCGAGGTTTCCCCGGTAACGCTGTAAACAAAGCAGCGCTCCGCTCAAAAAACACTGCTTTATCAGACATTACATGCAAGATTAAATGAAAATGACATCCAATTTTCTGAAGACAGTCGGTTTCCTTCAGAAATACAGTGATATAAAAACACCC